TGGGTGTCCCCGGCATGGGCGGGCGGCATCGGCAGCGCCGGGTGCAGGGCTGAGTGGGCAGCTCGGGCTCTGCGCCGGCGCGGGGCTGGGCCAGCGGGGATCCGGGGCTCCCCCGGGCCCTTCCCTGCTTTATTTGCCTGCGTCTTGCCCGATGGTCGTCGGCTCTGCAGGGCTGGAAGGCGTCTGCGCTTTCACCCGGCGCAGGGACGTTTCCACTCCTGTGTTCTCCCCGCTGGAAAGGAGTCCGTGGTTGATGGGAGCTGTGTTTCGTTTGCAGGTATAGCACCTTGCCAAGCCGCAGAACGCTGAAGAATTCCCGATTAGTGAGTAAAAAAGACGACGTTCACGTCTGCATCATGTGTTTACGGGCCATAATGAATTACCAGGTATCTCCCTTTCTGTTCTGTTGGAGCACTTAACTGTTCCGTTGTTGGGAGGGGGGGGAGAAGGCGAGTGGTGAAGTGTTACGGTGAAACGGTGAAACTCCTTCGTAGTCGGTGTAGCTGGGAAGCAGTGTTCAGCCTGGAGAAGGCTGAGAGGGGACCTTCGAAATGCCCATAAATATCTGCAGGGTGGGGGTCAGGAGGACGGGGCCAGACTCTTTCCAGTGGTGCCCAGCGACAGGACAAGGGGCAATGGGCACAAACTGAAGCAGAGGAAGCTCCAGATGAACATGAGGAAGAACTTCTTCCCTCTGAGGGGGCCGGAGCCCTGGCCCAGGCTGCCCAGGGAGGCTGTGGAGTCTCCTTCTCTGGAGATATTCCAGCCCCGCCTGGCCGCGGTGCTGTGCAGCCTGCTCTGGGTGACCCTGCTTGGGCAGGGGGTTGGGCTGGGTGACCCCCAGAGGGCCCTGCCAACCCCGACCATCCTTTGATTCAGTGATTCTGTGTGTACCATACTCCTTGTGTACCCGTGGGGGTGATTTGGTACGGGTGTGAAGACAGACGGCGATAGGAACTGCGCACATGGGGCCCGTTCCTGTTCGCAGCGGTGGGCTCGGTGCTCGCTGACTTACCAGACACACAGCTACAGCAATGAGACCATAATTTGTCTCCAAATTTAGTACTAACTCAGGAAATACGAGAAGTTTTCAGAAGAGCTGTGCGCTGATGGAAAATCCAAGCTTTCACGCGTTGCATGTCTATCACAAGGCAGTTCAGTAACTGCAAGTCCGAGATTAAGCGAGACCAAAGCTCATCTCCTTTCCCTGGGTTTCTTCTCTCTGCCGTGGGGTGCTGTGGTCAGACAGGTAGCTTCAGAGACTTGGGGTTTTTGGCTAAAACCATAACAGCTACGAGTTACCCGCAGCCGAATCACGAATCCCTCTCTAGAGAGGGGAATGGCACGCTGGACTGTCAGGATGGAAAAGGCGTGGGGGGAAACGACGAGCAGAGGGGTTGGCAGCGGGGCAGGAGCAGCTCTTGGACCCCTCTTTCTTGGCTGACGTGCCCAAAGCGAGTGCTTCCAACACCGTTGGTGGCAGGGAAGTTGTCAGGCGCGGTGGCGGATGGAAATGTGCTGGCTGGCTCGGTGAACTCGGCACCGCTTTGCTTGGCTTCCAGCGCTGTACTGCGCTGGGGCTGGTCAGAGATACGTGGTTTGTTGGCTTTTAAAAATACTAATTTCAGTCTCAAAACTGACACAGTATTTTCCTCTTCTCTTTTCAGTATGGATTCAACATGGTCATGTCGCATCCACATGCCGTTAATGAAATTGCACTAAGTTTGAACAACAAGAATCCCAGGTAGGCTGCACTTGCTTTTAGAGAGTTTAAGGAGTGGGTAAGTACAGAGTGCGGGGAAAGGGATTTTCAGGGGTGTGTTTGTGCACAAACCTGTAGCAAATATCAGGCTTCATTCCGGATCAGATTAAATCTGTGTTATGGTGCAAATAGGTGAGCAATCACCAGCTCAATCCACTGGTTTCAGGAGCTACTGAGTGTTCAGCGGAGAGTTTGCTGCTTAAGCACTCCCGCTCTGCTGCGGTGCAGAGAGGACCCTGCTGATAGCGAGCAGCTTAGCCTGGGATTTTCCTGAGGAGCAGGAAAATCTTCATAACTAGGTGTTGTCCAGGGAGTCCTTAGTTGGAATGCCTCAGAGAGAGGGCTTCATTC